TAGAGGTTGCGAATTATCTCTCTCAGACTGTGACTCAAATCTGTAATTCAAAAAAGGGAAGTGATTACAATTCTTTTGTTTTTACAGCATTATGAGCATGTGAACTGATGGTACCAAAGCCCTCACTGGCTTTATTTCCACTTGGTGATACATGCACATTATTCAAAAACTATTGAAAACTAATGATACTCTGTTCTGCGGTTGGTGGTACTTCACAGCTAATGATAATATCACAGACTTCTTGACATCTTACCACGAGTGTTGGAAGTTCAAGCTCTCCTCTGTTGCAAACTGCACTGATAAAATATGAAGTAGTGTTTGAGTCGGGTTATATCGTATAAATTAAATGTGGTCAGTTTTTTTTTTTGTATGGGCTCTGGGATAACATCTGCATCCCTTATCTGAACAACACACTTGTTTTCTCTGGCGCGGGCCGTTCTGTCCGTGTGCAGATCCACTGCAAGCTGGGACAGTTCCTCAGATTGAGAAGACATTCAACCAACCTGCATATAAAGAATTAGAACAAGTGACATTTCTCACCTGGTTTTGGATATTTCACAACCGTTCATTGATAACTTGGAATCCTGATCTGTCGTGTATGTTGACTACAGCCACCCCCGCCATCCTGTAGTCCAACCTATGAAGGATAAACTCTCTTAAATAGGGACTAATATGACTTTTTTTTTACAATCTTTCTCCGGTGATTCTCAAACAGCTGAAGATGTTTTGAACTTTGAATTTAATAAATGTTAATGTATGGACAAATGTATTTGGCAGACATGAATCAATAAAAAGAAGGAAGCCAGAGACTCTTTGAGGCAGCAATGGCGGCAAGTAAAACAAATTCACTTTGAAACACAGAACATCAGCAAGAGGAAGCTGCTTCATCAATAATTAATGATTTATAGACAAGGCACACAAAACGGGCCTGAAAAAGGTTGACGCCACTTCCCACGCAAAAATTGTGGAATAAAAACACGCTAACGGCAGAATGTGCAAACCTCTGACCCATGTGTGGGAATATTTGAATTGACAGCATTAACAAACTAGATCATTTAACTGGGACCACAGCTAATAAACATACGTTATACTTGTAAACAAATGTAGACAGTATATTGATATTTAGCTATTGATATTTTCTAAACCGTCTGAAGTGAATACAATTTTCCAAAAAGAGAATCATAGAGTTTGGGTCTACCCTTGTTTTGATGTACTTATTGTGCTTGTAGCAGTTGCCAATAAATAACCGCACATTTCTATGTCGATTGTAGAAATGGCGAAATACGAGCTGGCGAAGGGCATCTTCCCTGAAACCTCCATGTGGCAATATTGAAGTCAAATTGAATGGCATTGCAGTTTTAAAGGACTCCTTTCCACACACCTCGGGGAATAATTGCACTAAAAGCAGGAAGATGAATGACATTGGGGGAAGTACAAGAGGAGGAGTGTAAAAGAAGAATTTGGAGAGAGGGAGGCAAGTGCAGAAGAAGTGAGAAGTGAGGGCTGAGCAGCAAAATATTGCCAACTTCACTTTCAAGCAGCTGCGTAGGAACCTCCCAGCTTTCCTAAACATACAGTATCACTGACCAATTAATCTACAGAGGGAGTGTAATGGAGGTACAACAGAGAGGAGCAAGCAGGAGTCAAGAAAACAGAGAAATAAGCAGAAAATATTTGAGGAAGAAAGAAAGCTGCTTACAGTAATACCCGTTAATTTCCCCAAAGACAGGTGTTGGGGATATTAATCCGAATAAGAGAGCTAAGCTTTGCCAGCCTCTCTGCTCCAGCCAAAGCGCTGCATATCAAACACAGCCAAAGACGCTTTCAATTAAACTGAGGCAAAGTTGTAATTTAATGTGTAAAGCGGAAAAGGAGAAAGCCAGTCGGCTACATTCCACAAAATAATTTCCGACCTAGTTCTTCAGAATGTTACCTCACTTGCCAGTGGAACAATTGATCTGTGCAGTTTGGCTAAACAGTTAAAATCCCACAGCAGGGATAAGTCGTAAAAAACGGGAAGTAAATGATTGAGAAGAGTATAAACCGGGACTCTGGACTAAAGAGTCATTACATGATAGCTTCACCAGCAGGAGTTTCTTTTTTTATTACTTGAGCCCATACGCAGCTGTTTCACTGTCCATTGAGCCAAATCGGACACTTCAGGCCGACAGCATGGGCTACCTGGTTTTATTGAGTTTTGCACTCTGGAGAAATTATAAATTCAGTTGCCTTACCCCGTTCGCTCTTTGAAAGGACAAGGACAGGCTGAAGCAGTGATGGTTCAGTTCATTGTTATTGTCTTGTGTAAAGTGGTGGGATGACAAAGAAATTGAAGGTGTGTGTATGTGTCCCCAGGCAGTTCTGTGCCTGACAATCATTCACACTTAATACTACTTGCACTACTTGACTATACACTTTTTTACACCTAGTGACATCTGCAGGTAGTTTTGTATTTTAGATATGCTGATACCCCAATACAATTCATGTGAAATTGAATTTGAATGCATAACTGTTTAATATTGACAATTATCATAAATGTACTAGGAATTAAACAGTGAAACTTTTCCTGAGCAACTTGATCAATGCATACTCCATCATTATGACTCAAGAGTGGGTTCAACGAAATATCTGCTGGGAGATATTTAACTTTCAGCAAACAACCTGTGAGCTAATTGGGTCACATGTAGAGGGGTGTAAATGTGAAGCACAGCTCATTTTATAGACAGCAAAACAAACAAAAAAGATTGGGAAATTTGTTATTTTCATTCTGGAGATAAAAGAAATATTGTGGCCAGTTGAAGGATTGACTCAAAACCCTATAAAAGAAAATTGACCGTTTTGGGTTAGGCAGGCGTCGTGCATGCAGAAAATGCATCTTGGACAGCCCCTAGTGTCTTCAAACAGTACGTGCAACAATTTGAGGATGGGAGGGGATGAAGTCATCTTCCTATTGTGCAGGAAGAACTGAGAATCTACACAGTTTTACGCACAGCAACCAGATCATAGGAGTGGTAAAATCATTTTTTTGAGGAGGTGGTACAGGTTATGTGCACTGGAATTTGCTGAGATTCACCACCAGCAGTAGGCAGAGGAATAATCAATAGAATTACAGGAAATAGCAGGCTGAACCACACAAGACTGCTGTTATGAAAACCATAAAGGTTTTTCTATTTAGAGATCAGCTGCCCTGACGCAGAAAAAGTTGCAAAGCACGTATGACACATTTGAAATCAATATATACTGCAGAGGCACGCAATAAGATCTTATCTCAATGTATTATCCCAGTGCACAGTTCAAAGGCACCTCAGTTAATGAGACTCAGTCTGGTTTGCAGTCTGACTTTCAATCCACTACCCACCGGTTTCACATTCAGATTGCACCACTGGCAAAGGGTTCAGTTGGTGGAAAACAACGTGTCCGTTATCATTTGCATCACAGAGGCCTTCTGAACAAAGAAACTGTAATTATGTCACAATCATTTTCTAATTCACCAGAATGCCAAGACGGAATCCAGTGTGAGAGAGATGTGAAAGTGGAGGACAAAGACTATAAGAATATAAGCATCAATTTGGCAGTTTCTGTTCATTGTTTTCCTTGACTTGTTAATATATAATATCATTATTTAATCTCTGTACTATACTTCCTTTCCTAGAGATAATAGGCACTGGGATCTAATAACAAGTGTCAAGTCACGCTGTGACTTTTTAAACTGTACCTGAGAAAGAAGAAAATAAAAATTGGACCTGTAAGAAGATGGATATTAAAACATTAAAACAAATATAAGAGTTTCACTCTCTCTCTCTCTCTCTGTCTGTCTTGTCTGTGGACGTCTGCGTGGTTTAGGCTGAGCCCTGGTGGGAAAATGCTGAACTGCAGATTTACTGCACGATTCATACAAACCTGCACACACTTTGATAGATTAATTCCCCTGGAGGATGCCTAGTTAGTTTCAAATTTACAAAAGAATGTTTTGCACAAAGCCAAGCTGAGTTTCACCTGTGCCTCACCTGCTCACGTGTTCTCACTTCCCTTTCTAGTAACTGAATTCAAACTCCAACAGGGAGAAAAAAAGGAAGAAACCTTACGGGACAGGAGGGAGGGATCCCTCTCCTGGGATGGGCACACTGCCATAAATGTTATGTGTACAGAATAAACAACGTCAAAGATCTACAATACGCTCAATGCATATGACGGAAATTATTCAGATGTTCGTAGTAAAATGATGACAAAATGATTTCACATTTCCAATAACAGTTGTAATGGATGCAGTAGACTAACAATCATAACAAAATGGTGTCAGCAATAGTGATGTGAGTAATGATAATGACAGTGGATGAGAGGCAGGACCACAGCAGGAACAACCAGCCTCCAGATATCCATCATCCACAGAAACGTGTGAGGAGCAGAAGCACGCAGGGAAGAAAACAAAGTTGGTAATGTACATTTATAATGACAGTAATAGTAATGTGACTAAATAATAATGTTGGTAGCAGCAGGGCCGTGGCAGGAGGCAGGGGGCAGGGGGCAGAATCTTTGTGCTATTGAAATACCTTCTCTGATTACGTTAGTCTCTGCATTCTGGATTTGGGGCCTTCTTTCCATACTTGCTGCCTCTTCTGTCCCCTGCATGTAGCCGATATGGATATTCCGGCTAATGTTACAAAATGTTAAAGTGTCAAACTAAAATACTAGTGAGGAGCATCACTACACCAATTCTTTCAATTATGTTTCATATTGCTTATCAGGAAAGGTGGTGTGCAGAAAGTGCAAGAGCTAATGGAGATACAGATCAATGATAGCTTCTTCTAATAAAATCTTTTATTTAACTTCAATCCTCTTTTGACATCACTTGATTGTTTGATGTGATGTATTTAACCCGGGCCGTGCCTGCTTAGGCTGATATTTCTTTCATTCCTCAATTGTCTCACTTTAAAATCAATCTCCGAGGAGCATCAAATATAACACGATCAAGCACATAAAAAAAGGAAATGAGAAACCTGTCAGGAAGACAAAAAGACATTGATTTTAATAGGTTTAGCTCACTTTATGTAATATCATTTTATAGAATAAATACATCTCTCTTAACCAATAAACCAAATAAAACCCTTCTTTTTAATATCGCCAAGTATTCTCAGTTATCCAGCATGGGAATGTGGAAAGGTGTTCATTTCTGGTAAACACAAAAATGGTTTCACTGTATTAAGTTCAGTTCTTAAGACATTAAGTGCTCCTCTGAATAATGGGTAAAAGGAATATCGGGGAAACAAGCAGCAACAAAGTTCTTGTTGAGATCAAGACATATTTCATTATACCTACTTAGACACAAACAGGCATGAGTACAAATTAATATTTCTTGAAGAGGGCGAGGTTTGAAAACCATAATGCCAAAAGGCTGAATTCTTCCAGGATTGCTGCAATTAAGATACTGTCCTATTTAAATGATATCAAGTCATTTTCACTCACAACAACTGCCTTCTCTCTTATGACAGAATGCATTTAACTAATCTTTACTAATCAGCAAAGCATTTCACGTGACTTTCAATAACATAGTAAACGTAATCTCAGTGTTTATGCAAACACATCACAGCACCCTTGCTTTGGGGTTACAGGTAATCATCTACAGTCAGTCCAACTTTCCACTCCCAGGCTAGCAATTCCACATTTAAACGTCATCCTAATTAATTGAAGGAATTGATGCCTTTAACTGAGAAAGTCTTTCATGTGAGGAAGGTTTAAGCGTTCATCGAACATTTGTATTGTTTAGTTTTGTTCACTGTCATGATATGGTGGTTTAAAAAAAGACTAAATAAACCAGGGTGACAGAGCAGATTAAGACGGCCAAATAAGTGATTCATATTAGAAATGTGCCGCTGCACAATAAGCTAAATTGGATAATGCATTAGATCAGATTGTCCACTAATTAAAGAGTTGACCTCATACACTGCTGCTGGAATAGTACTAGCAAGCTGAATTTCCTTAATTGTAGTAGCTATTGGAAGGCTCATTGACCTTTATTTGTTTGTTTGTTTCATCTAATTTGACCACTTCTTACATGGTGATGCACTAATGTTACATTTAAAACATAATAAATATTGTTGCCTAATGTGAAGAAAACATTTTTAAACAAATGTCAAAACCTCAATCAGTATTTAAGGTAAATTTCTACCTCAGCATATTTGAAATTTGCATCTAACAAAATGGATGCATCCATGGTGCTTTGCTGCTCCACACTGATATGTTCACACTGCTCAGTGCTTCTAAAGCAGTTCTTGGGAAAATAACGAGTACTCAGGTGTACAATGAAACGGAGTCAAAGCTCAGACAGACATTCACAATGTTACACAATGGTTTGTGCACTTAAAACTTCTTAGAACAGGAGTACTGATGTAAGACCTCTCATTAGGTCAGTAGTTTACATGAACTTTTGTCTTCATTCATGAAATGCACCCATTGAGACCATTAAGATGTCTTAAGGCCAGTAAAAAAAACACTGATAACTTTGTTTGTAGTTTAACTGAACATGAAGAAAGAGAATTGTTTTGTGACAAAGGTTTTGGAGGTGAATGTACATGAATCATCTGTGCATCATAACACCCATATATACTGTATAAAACTTACCGTTTTATTTGAGTTTCTTAAAGTTGACGTTTTTAAGTATTCACATTTATGTCCTTCAAGTCAAATTACCTTGTGCACGCCCAAACTAAGAGATAAAGGCTTTTCCACATTTTTCTGATATGTGAATACAAATATGCCCATATATTTGTTACATCATCCTCTGCAACTTAAGGTTCCACGTTCAATTGTTCAAAAGATTTGAACTAAATGCAATGCATGGTTTAATTGACAGGAACTAACTGTTATGATGTTGGTATCCGATATGAAAATGAATGAAGAATTTGTGGTAGATTAATGTGAATGAAGTGATATTGATGTAAGCCGTTGACGCTCACGGCTTATAAAAGGAGATAAGAACTGTACATGCTCATATACAATGTGGTCTGCTCTTGTCAGTACACACAACGATGCTACTTTTTCCCTCTTCTAAATTCATTCTGATTCACAAAAGAAAATCTTAACATAGAAACAAACTATATTCTCCACATTAAGTGTATCCTATTGACATATCTACAAAAAAGAGATGCATGTAGTTACTTGGAACATCATTAATAGGGTTGGCATTACTTTCCAAAAATAAAACAGTCTTTTCAGGAGCTGCAATACACCAAGGCCATGTGAACAAAAAACAAATCAGCGGTTAATTTTACAGGACAAACATTAAAAAAAACGGTCAGAAGGAGCACTGCCAATGCACAGTTTACCATTGTCTGCATACAAGGAGAGAATCGAAACAAAAGCTCAAAAATCAAACACGTCGTTCTGCTTCTGCGCCAGCTTGGCCACCTCCAGCCGGATCGCCTGCACCAGTGCCGAGGTGGAGAGGCTGCTCAGGGGCATGCTGTCCATGTCCTTCACGGCGTGAGAAAGCCTTTCCCGGGATACCGGGCATGGGGAAGTGGGTGGCCGCTCAAGTGCTTGGTTATACTGCAGGGGCAACCTGGTGGGGCTCCCCTGTGGGTAGCGAGGATGAGGAAAAGCCTCTACATACCCGGGAAGGGGAACCTGGAAGACGCAAAATCAGTATTAAAGCGACTTCATTACATTTCTACCCAAGAAAATGATGGTATCCATCAAATTCAACAATTTTAATTTTACTGAGTAAACATTTTCTCTTACACGACTTTAAAAACAATTTAAAAAGGGTGAGAAATGAATATGTCAACAATAAATAAAAGAAAAAGTAATGAGCGTATGTATGAGTGTGTAATAGTGAAATGGACTTTGGTTCAAACAGTGTTGTATCCAAAATGTTCTACCTTTGAATGTACAATCTTCCAATAAATAACAAATAAATCAAAATAGGTTTTCATTTTAGAAATGCGCTCAACTACCCTGGCATTTAGTTGTGTCCGCTCAACGCCAGCCTTAAATCAGATCAGCAAATGGTTTCTAAATGACACTGGTTCTGCAAAAAGACACTGTGAATGCATCTGGTTGAAACAGGGAAAACAGACAAGTAAAAAAAGAGATCATTCCATATAAACAAGGGTACTCCTGTGCAGGGAAGGGGGGAGAGGAAAACGTGGGGTGTAACTGATCCGACAGGACGAATGGAAATAGTTGTATTCTAATGAAAAACGGAGGAGGAGGTGGGAGGATTGTTATGTAACGAGGCCCAGTTGTGTTTGAGGCTGGTTGGCAACATGAGCAATAACAACTTGTGTCAGTACCACAGTGAGGTGGTCTGCAAAAGACAATGTTTACATACAGAGAGGCAATCTCACCTACGCCTTTAGAGTAATTATTCAGTTTTGTTGCTGTGATGTAGCGCACTTTCTGGCTCCATGCGGGAGACCAGCTCTTCTTCCATTATTTCTGCATGATATTTTACAACAGGATCATAGACTAGTGTTTTTAATTATAAGGAAACCACTGGGACAAATGCTTCAAAATGTAATCTGTGCTAATGTATTCCACATTTCTAATCTTCAGTTATTCGACTATTTCTTTTGTTAGAAGGACTGGCTGCTTCCTAGGCAAACAACATCAGCTTCCTTACCGAGTCTGCCCACTGCGGTGGCAGATCCTCAGGTTCTGGTGGATAGGACATCCAGGAGGGACTGTGGTAGGACGTGGTTGGTGTGGTGACTAAGTATTCTGAGTAGCCGGGCCTGGTGGCTGGGATGGCATAGACGGCTGTTATTGGGTTTCCTACAGAGAAAAGAGGAAAATGGAGAACCTTTAATGCTGCCCTTGTATTTATTAAAGCAATAATGTACGAGAGGCTGTAATTTATCGTCCAATAATGTAAGCGTTGTAAGGCCTGACAGCGAAGCAGAGGGCCGGCAACCCTCGAACAGCATTGGCTCCCGCACCATCTCATTCTCATCGCTGATGACGTACACCTTAATTGTCCCGTTGCGAAAGCTCCCATTGCTTGAAAACGATCATTTGTAGGATTTCTGAGGGGTTTTTTTGACAATCGCCACCGAGCTAAAAGCTAAAATGTCGCGCAAAATCTAACCCGTTACTTTGAGTGCTCAGTTTTATGGAGCATCCACCGGTATTATAATACAGCATATATGGGCACTTAGCTTCGTATTATTTTAGCTGTGCATTTTTCTCCACATTATACGTATTCTATTTCTAGTTCCTTTCTATATCAAGTGTCTCTTCTTTTCATTCTTATTTTCCAAACATTGTGGCATTATATTCCTGTTTTTATGTCCATTCTGTGTGTATTCACTATATTTCTTTCTTTCTATATTTCTTGGTAAATTATCATCTCCTCTTATGCTTACCTGAGTAGTTGGACACAGGCTGCTCTGCAGTGATAGATGGAAGTACTGCTCGAGTTGTTGGCCCATATGGGTTGTCGTCATGTTGACTTTGCCTTTCCGTGACAGATGTCGCTGAGCTCCTTGCCTTAGGCCCCAAGTCAGAAGTGGAACTAAGTTGGACAGAGAGTAAACATGACCGCAGTTAGTGAAACACTCGTTGAGTACCACTAGATGGCAGACACACTCTATGCGCAAAAGTCTGTAACTCGTTAACATTCTTGCCAGCTCTCGATGCTCTGGTTCAATATTCAAATTTAAACAAGGCATTAAATCACCCGGGCCACAGCACATTACCTTGTGAATATCTAGTCCCTGAACATGAATTTGACTCTGGAAAAATTCAGACTAATCGATGGGTTTTGAGACGCTGCGATCATGCTTGTGTTTGCCGGAATGAATGTATATGTATTGTGTGTGTGTGTGAGATTCATTCTTACCGTCTTAAGGGGTTCCCAGGAGGTGGTCCATTACGAGGCGGTAAAGGGGGAGGAGAGCCCATGGCCATCTCAGGAAGCTGGGTGAAGCGAAAGGCCTTTAACAGATGGTGAAAGGCATTTCAGGTTACAAAACCCCCCCTAACAGAGTTGATAGCAGAGAGGAAATCATCTCATCCCACTTACAGGTTTGGGCAGGCTGCATTGATACATCTCTGCACCATAGGATGGCACCCACTGCAAGCCCCCCCTCCCACAGCTCATCGTACCCGGGGCGCTGGTCACCACGTCTGCGTATGGGAGGGGCGTCGGCGCGGGGTTGTAGTGGTCAGGAGGTGGGTGGTGGTGATGGGAGTGTCTCCCGGATGTGGACTGACCCCCCGACGCCAGGCTGAACGCCTCCTCCAGCAGCAGGTGCATCTGCTGTCGCACTTCATCAATGGACGGCTGAGAGCTCAGGGTGGATGTCTCCGAGTGGCCTTTCAAGCCCTGGCCATACATGAATCCCTGTGGCCCCATCAGACGGTCGACGTTCGTCTCCTCAATCAACTCGGGCTCCGTCTAAAAAACATACGCAAAGACATTGAGACTCAACACGGACAGTACGTACAAACAGTTCAAGACATTTTTTAGGATATAAGAAAAAGGGATATGAAACTTTTGACAAAATTGTTGGTTGGGGATCCACATTTTATGGACGTTTTATAGCAATTGCGTTTGTTTGAAAAGCTCTAGCGACAACCGCGTGGGGAGACTGGTGGTGATTAACACCTGGACCAACATTAAAACAACAACTCTCACCACTGAATTAGAAGGATTTCCATACGTCCCGTACTTTTCTGTAAGCAATCCAGCAATATTCAACCAGTTGCTGGAGGTATATTATATCCGTGTTACGCCACGTATTGTTGGACAAAGACTTAATTCTGTCCATATTCATTGAATTCAATCATTATTTGCCTCCCCTCTCACTCCATTGTTTCACCCTCTTTTTTCCCATTTTGAAAAGTCTCCATCTTTCCATAACCTGTACTCTTTCTCCACCTCCCAGTTTCTGTTATAATATATCCAGTCCTCATGTTCAGCGACAAAGGAACACAGGTTGAGCCTGCTCTACTTGCTGTGCGAATAGAGGGTAGCCACAGGAGACCTGGCGTAGCGCACCTCATAAATCAGCCCGCCCTGCAGCACGGAGCAGCAGAAGCTTGCATCTGCAGTGAGGGGTCCTGCAGCCACACAAGCACCATTGCAATCAACAGGGCCAGGAGTTGTGAAAAAGAGGACTTTGTAGCTTGTACTCCTATTGCGCCACATTCTGCAGTGAGCTGAACAGCAAACAGACCACGCGTCGTGACAATGGGAGGTCAGAATCCAATTAACAGAGCTTGTCAACACTCTGCTGACGCTTGTCATGTTTAAACACATTTTGCTCACGGCATCGCACCGGCCACCCGATAGTCTCTTCATCCAATGAAATGAGGTTTTCGGAGCAGACATTTGACTTCCAATAGATAGACCTGTGTTTCCCCTGATGTGACTGGTCCAAATGGCTGGCAGGTCAGCGGCAGTTCAGTGAAATACTTTTGCCTCTCCTCATATTTTTTAGAAAAGGAAGCTTGGTGTGAAAATACTTTTTAGGAGCGGTGTGCTCCATTACTCCCCGGAGCTCACATAATAGTTTGCTGGCTTCATGACAGAAAAAGCCACACGCAGAGCACTAATGGAACAATGAAAGCGTGGAGGCATGAACCACCCATCCTGAGACATATCAAAACGGCAGGAGCTTATAAATCTTAACTCTTAATTATGAATGAACCCTTTTCCTTCTTGCTTTGACATATTTCTCGCCACACCGGAGTAAAAGATGTTTGATTTCAAGCTCACTGTCAGGACTTAAAAATGGAGATTTTCCACTAAGAAAGCTCTGATTGATAAGGATCTTTACTATTTTTACATTCCATCATACTACATTGAAAATGTAGGTTCTTTATTTAAATATTCGGAGTTTGGTACCAAACACATCCATTTAGTCGCATTTTAATAGTTCATCTCCAGAACATTATAAATATTTGAAAATGAGTTCAAAGCCCATCTAATATCCCCTAATATCATTTAAAAAGCACCATCACAGGGTTCTCCTGCCAATCACTTCGTTAGAGTAGGTGCTGTCATGTTTTTAAAGGTGTAAAGAATTATAACTGCATCTTGTGGGGTGCAGGCGGTGACGCCATGTGACTCACGTCATAGCCGCTGTTGCGGATGCCTCTCCTGGGTCTCTCCCTCATAACCAGCAGGTCCATCTCTGTCCCTCCCGGGCTGGGACTGCTCAGACTCTGTCTGCTGCGATACGCTGGCTGCCCTACTTGGGAGTGTCTGTAAAATGGAGTAAAGGGTAGATTTTTTTTACAAATCAGACCAGGGGGTATAGTCACATTGAAATAATTTTAATTCAGCTTTCTTACTTTTGTGCCATAGTTTCAGGGTGCCTGCCACTGAAGGGCAAGTGAGAACGGAGGGGTGGAGAACAGAATGGGGGAATGCTTTTGACTTATTCCCTTTGGCTGTGCAGACAAAGTACATGAAATATGATTCTTTTAAGGACCCCAAGTAAGAGAGCTGAAGCAACCGTTTGAATAATATCATTGTACTACATGCCAGGTATGAGGATTTCCTCAAGGGTTGAAGTAAATTCAATACTGATGAAGAATCAAGCAAAACAGAACTACAATGTACAATCAGAGACAAAGAACAAGATGCATTTTAGCAAACCTGCTCCGAAATGATCTCTTAGCATGTTGGTCAAAGTGGTAAAAATCTATATTTTTGATAAAAAACACTCGACCCATCGCTACTCAGTCAACACGCAAGCCTGAAATTGAATGTTGTTTTTCACTCTCATGGCAGCATCAGAGTGAAAGCTATATATGTACACATATTTAGGCTCCTTCCATTAGACACATATATATATATATACTTCTTCCATTTTTCATGTGCATCTTTGAAGCAGAAGCAGGACAGAACAAGTGCATTGGACCAAAACCATGCCAATCCTCTTATCTCTATTATGGAAGCTCAGAACTTGGATCAAATTTATCAGATAGGCCCAATGGGTCTCTGGCTGCCGACTAAGACAGGATAATGACAACATTGGAGGAGACAGGTTTACATATCTACAGTATAAGCTAATTAGGCAGCAGGGATGGATGACTGTCCATGGTTAGAGCCCCAACCCACCAAGATGAACTGCTGCGCCACTTGCATCTCTTTATGACTCCTGCAGTTAAATCCCACACTCTTGTGTTTGCCCTCATCCAAACCCAGGTTCCACTTGCTTTCCCCCCCTCTCCCCTCACCTCCTGTGAGACTTGACATAAGTGGAACCTCGCTCATCATCAGGCTCCAGTGGTCTGCCATGCTCACCGGCTGCCCTCTCATGGCTGTGCCGCACAGCTCGACCACTGCTGCTGCCCTCTGTAGAAGGGAAGTCATAATAGCCCTTCCTCTTAGCCTTCAGTCTCAGCTTGTTTCTGTAGTGCTCAATGTCCGACTTCTGCTTCAGAGCCATGTTCACCTGCAGAGAAAAAAAAGCTCAGGATGCAATGAGACGTGAGGAGATCAGGACACCAACAGGCATATGGTGCTTCTTGCTGCACGTGGTATTATTCTGTGTGTGAAAAATTAGAGGGTTCCTGTGGAAAAAAACACCCGTAGTGAATTAAACTGTTCACAATCAGAACTGTTCATATTTTCAAGAGATAACAGGTACTTTACTTTTTTACTAAACAGTTTGTTTTAAATAATTTTCTGGAGAATAATACTTGCATGAGCTTATATATAAAAATTCAAACATATTTTAAATAATGAAAACATGCTTTTAATTACAATGCCTCAAGGAAATATCTCTGTGCAGACTTAAACACTGTACCTGATTGGATGTGTATGTTCAAGTGGTAAAAGCTTCATAATGAAATCACAAAATGCCACAAGCAATATAAGTCATTTAAAAATTATAAATTATATTTCATTTCATATATTTAATTAAAGCCCTGGAAATCTCCTTGGTTATTATTCATTAAGATTCTTACATTCACAGTGTTTGCTAATCTGCAGTAATCATACGGTCTGTGTGGTTGTGGTTTAATCGGATCTGATTGATAGTTCTGAAAACGTTCTGTAAGCAAACAAACATTGTGATTCAAACGTTGCTTAAATGTGATTGGTGGACAGAAAAATAACACTTTTCCAAAGAAGCTTTTTTTTTACTTTAAACCAATGGGAAAAATATAAAAAAAAACAAATAATGACATTTTGCATGTGGAAATTCAAAACTACTAACTTTCGCACAAAAATAGTGCGCTGATCTTTGTCGCTCATGATGAGAAGCTGAATTCAGACCCAAGTTAATGTTCAAGCAAGTCAGTGTTTCTCTCTGAATGTTGTTCTGCTTTTGGATCACCTCTCCATTGACGATGGCTGAGTCCTGGCCGCGGTCAGAGGACGCAGGGTGTGTGTAGTGGGGCTGACCTGCCGTGGGCTTTACGGAGATGAGCTGCAGGGAGCCAGAGGAGGTGTCATATGCATCTGAAGAACAGAGAGGGAGTTCACTCACAGAGAGACTACAAATACCTCTGATCATAATGCACAATGTCAGTCAAAAGGGGAACAAACTGTCACACTTGAACCCACCCAAGCAATGAATCACTCACATCCAGCACATGAGGAACGGTTAGTGACAGAGAACGTTAACAGTGAAAGGCTTTCACTTAAACCGATTCTGCTTCTTAGCATAGCACAAGATGTTTGACTGCATAGGGTCTTTCTGCATTTCTGCGATGGGGAATGTATGAGGGAGTGTCACAGCATCAACTACTCTGACATACTGTATCATGTCTCATGCACATTCATCGGGTCCATCTCTGCTTACTGCTGAGTGGCTACCTTTCCGGCTGTAAAAAATAGCTGCAGTGCATTTTTCTCAGGGTACCTGTCCGCATGAGAGACAGAGACTGGAGCAGGGCTTCGCGCGAAGAGAGTGGGAGGAGATTTTTGTGAGACCCCTGACCGTGTGTGCAAAGAATCAGTAAAATAAATGATTAGTATTTTCATCAGAGTGCAACTCTCACCGTCCCTCTTGCACGTCTCCTCCTTTGTCGGTTTCTGCTGCGCTGTGACTTTCAGCACCGTCAAGCTCCGGCTGGAATTCAGCTTCTCTGATTCGTTGCTGATGACGGAACCGTCCTCACTCGGCAACTTGCTGCAAGTAACCATAGCAACAGGATAAGGCGGTGAACTTGGCTCTCGGCCAGGTTATGTCATCCCTCCGTTAAACCACCTCACCTTCCCCTCTCCATCAATTTTATGGGTGTATATTTTGTAAAAAATATATATATATATTAAACAAATTGTTGGTTTATATGTCTGTTAAATTCTGTCTTCTTAGCCATGTGTGTTCTAGTTTCAAACCCAGTGTGTGTTCACATATGGTGTGAGTTTTTGCATTCATTGGACAAACAATTGCTTCTGCCGATTCTTTTTCCACTAGCTTCAAAAGCTGTACTGTAGTTGGAATTAGAGCTGATCAAGCAGCGGCTCAGAGGACCACGGGGCTGACAGTGACATCAAAGCACCGTGGTCTATCCCCTAATTGTCTGGCAAAAATGATAACAGCAAAGCGAGGCAGAGGAACAGCGGCTGCCCTCCCTCCTCAAGTCGAGGCAGTGCTGCAGAGCGCTAGCTCGGCGCTCCACTCAACGACGTCTTATGTTTATTCATCAATGGAGGTGTACAGAATGCTACATTTACATTTGCTCTTTGGGGACGTTTGATGCAGTGTTGGGGTGTAAAGGCTAATAGATGCATGACCTGTGTGTAAAATTGAGGGGATTTCCGGAAGGAAGAAGCCATTTAGAGAAGATAGTGCACCGCATAACTGCATGCATGCTCATTTGTTTGTACACATCATGCATAACAGCCGTCTTAGGTCATAATACCTAAATCTTTACCAAGTTAAATAAAACAATAACTTATCAAAATGCAACCTCAGGGCTTCAACCCATAAGATTATCAACAGGCATTTTGGAACTGATGTTATTCCAAACTGGCTCTACGGTCAACAACAACTGTGAGCCCACAACTGATAAATTATTTGCTCGTCTGCCAAAGGTCTCGGATTCAAGTAGAGTGACACCGTAAAATCAAATTGCACTCAGAATTTATTCTAGGTTTTATTGGAATTATTCCTGGGACATGTTGCAGAATATCTAACTTGTTAATACAATGTACAATGTAAATATCTCTCTGTGCCTTCTAAAAAATGTGTGGAAAAAAAGCCTGTTGTGTGCTGGGATAAAATTGCTGTACATGGCTGGTTGAAAAACTATTACCGGTAAATAATTACTCGAGACATGATCTCCTTACAATAATACATCAACAGTTTGATAAATTAAAAATGTTACTGCCTCACGAGTCCGCCAAAGGACCTCCAGTCTATGGATTTCCTACCCTGTCACATTTGATCTTATTTTCCAACATGGCTTTGACAAATGACGTCCTTTTGCGTTCCTTGATTAAATAATTTAGACTGACATAACATGGTAATTCGTTTTAGAAACAGTGCTAATGACTAGGAAATGGTTCATTTCACCTGCCCACACAGCAAGCTGTTACCGGCCATCGCTCAGCATCAGGGTAGAATGAGGACCAACACTAGGACGGGAACTTATTGCATCATCCCGGGACAGAAGAGCACTGACAATGTTGTTTTAAACGACATAAGCTCAGTATCTTGTACCTATACTATTGTGCAATTATGTAAAGTTTGTATAGTACATATGAGTTTGTTACCCATTCTAATTGTTGTGAATCCTATTTTTCAGAGCGTCCCATTTAGCTCCTTTGTGCTCTCTTTCATGATACATTTGATCAGTCTTTGACACACTTAACAGCTTGAACGTTGTCTTAAATAGCTAATCGTTAGCTGATCATAAGTCGTCCATTAATTTCTATCCTCATGCAAAATACTTGCAGTATTATCGTATATAACTCACTTCGACCCTTAGATGCAGTTTAGTATGCTAACTATAAACACAAATCTTCTACAATTGAGCTCTCCCATGCTATTGTATATATATTTCAACACCCACAAGCACAGTTAGACACACACACAAATCTTTAGACAAATGCATGTAAAAATGAATAAAAAATGGTGTGGTACAAATTACCACATTAAGTCAATATGTCTATATATAATTTACCTCCTGTGTTTGTCAGAAGTGAGGCTTTTCTTATTGGCGGTTCCGTCTTGCTGCAGGGCCTTTTCTAGTGAAAGTGGTGTGTCCCGGATTTGTAGAGACATCACTAAGGTGTCCTGACTGGCAGGCAGGGTCTCCTCATCTCCCCCCTGCTGGCCCAGGTGCTGCTTGGCATAGTCGAAGCCCTGCACCGGCTGACGAACAAGTGTGGAGTTAAAACAGAGAAAGACGAAAGATTAGTTTCTTTCAAAAGACATTTAGTGACATAAGGTTGAGAGAAGAAACATCATTATCCAACCAGAACTGTCACGCAGACTGACATCTAGAAAAAATATTCATCCAAATGAATTTATAAGAAAGGACTCGCAGTGGGCGGTGACAACATGAGATCTGCAGGCTTTCATAGAATTATTGTAGTGAAGTTTAACTTTTGAGGATAAGAGTGAGGAGGAAGAGGTGTTCATGGTGTCCTACACAACACTGGGTGTCAAAGCGCTGAAAAGGGGGTGTACAGAAAAAGCCCAAATAGTTCAAAACCCCCAAACCAATAAATGAAACAATGAAATATTTAAGATTAATCTCATCACGATGTCATACATTGTCCGACACACATCAGGGCAGCTGAGCCATGGTACATAATCAATATGTGTTGCTCCCCAGACTGAAAACCCTGCATCCTTTCTCTTCCTACAGCATATCTATATCGACATCTACATATCTAGAGGGTGAAGATTTTCTTTAGATCCAGTCTTAATTATTAAGTAAAAGTGCTGTTGTAGTGGAAACTCAAACGAGGCTTTGTGATAAAAGTGTTTGACTTAGAGACACGTCTAACGTCTAATTTACAGTTTTGGGAGTCAATTTAACTTTCAGTATTTCAAGAATTCTTCATAGCTGATGAGAAATAAGTAACTAAATATTTGCTGGTTTTGTTTGACTAGACAATGTTATGGTTTGTCAATAGCAACCCAATTATATTACATATTCAATTAAATTAAGCTTGTTGGTGTGCAGTAATAACAGGAGTAAAAGCAGCACTGAAGGGGCTTATACAGCTAAATAAAGACGTGTGATTACCCTCTCTCTTAAATTCCATAAATAAAGGATTTGTGAGTGTTATACTTTGCATTTCCTCTTATGAACACTGATGTCTAACTGTGCAGGGAACTGCCAGGCATAACAAAGAAAAAGACATGAAGGTGGAGACAACTTTGATGAAGACAATGTGACCAAATCCTTGATGCAACTTACACATCTACTCATGACAGACAGACAGACAGTGTTGGTACACAAACTCTTTCTACCTGAAAAAACAAACTCCATTACAATGATTCTCTGAAAAATGTAGTTGTTTGCCATTGGAAGACTTCTATAGGAAGAATAGGAAATAAAATCTCATAGTGAAAGGTTTGTTTCTCCTTAGTTTCATCAGCGAGGCAGGATTTGTTCAAATGTTTCATAAGTGATGTCTGCCCAAAACCCCATTCAAATCACACTGTTAAGCCCTGAAGATGAAAACATGGATCAGTAATGAGAGGAAACATAAAAAAAGGAGATACCTGGTGATAATAGCCGACATCTCTCCGATATGCCATCTGAAAACAGAAGAAAATGTTTCAGACAGCGTGTTTGGAGATTCTACCAATGCGTTAATATTAAGAGTTAAGTATTATGCATATTAAGAGGACCAGAAACTTTATTTAATTATAAAATAACTTTTATAATTTCAAAATGTACATTCAGGAGCTCAAGGTGACCGTTGTAAATCCAAACACATTCAGTTTACACTGATTTAAAACCAAGAAAAGCTTTAATTGGCGCAACTGAGAAGCTTGAAAAACAATTGCAACAGTGATTGAATCACAAGATGTCTTCTAGTTACAACCTTCCTTTGACAGATGTTTACAGACAAACTTCACAGAGAAAGACAGATAGACACGGATAGATACCTTAGCTCGGGGATTTAGGTTTCCGATGGCATCAGCTTTAAAGTCATTTTTATTCTTTCTGCACAGCACAGCTGTGATGATGATGATAATGAGTGTTACCACGGCGATGGGGGCCAACACTGCAGCGATTATCCAGAGGTTATTAGGAGGGTTCTTGACCACAGCTGTAAAAAAAAGAAAAACATTTTTCACCATCGTCACTTCATTATACCTTCAGTGGACTTTAAACACTACATGTTAACAGTTAATCTGATCTGCAAGTAAAACACACAGCCCACTTTTCTCGCCAATCTATGCAGAAGGACCCTTCACAATCACGCTAAGTGATTAGCAGCGTGCCTGACTCAGCTATTGTAGGCATTAATCCATAAGATAATGCAGTGCATCCTTTCTCTGTCCCTCCCGCTGTCTTGACCGGGCCTGTCAGCCCCTCTGCCCCCTCATCCCTTTTCTCTTAGCGGTGAGCAGACTGCGGCCCAAACAAACATGGTTCTGCCTGGAGCATTCCAGAGACATTAGAGAGCAAAGAGCTTTCAGAGCTTTTTTCTTTCTCTCCATCAGCCCGGTCATGTGGTTCGGTTTGCGTGTCGGTCTGTCTGTCATTGTTTCTGTCTGTTTGCTTCCCTGTCAGCAGCTGGAAAGTGCTTACGTTCTGCTTGCGGCTGGACAAAGTAGCCGAGCGTGAGCGCCACAGTCTGAGAATCCACTGTGTTCAGGACCTTGGCGGCTGACGTGCCCGATAAAGGAACGCCATTGTTCTGGACATAGTAGGTCATCTCGGCTGGATTCTTCACCGCCGACAACCGACGGATACTCACCATCTGATAGGATAACAATATTAACGGTTATCGAATGACTGGCTTCATTTATTTTAGAAGAGGCCTACATTTTAGAAAACAAAAGCTTAAAAAAAAAACGTGCATTTAGCCATGGAGTCTCTAGAGAGGAAAAACTACATGGACAGAATAGGGAACGTGTTTAGTAAAATATGCGCCCTCTGGCTGGTTTTGATGAGCAATTAGCTGATGATGAGCTCCCTAATTAACAAGGGCTGACCAAAAGTAATCATGCAAGCACGTGCACATTAAAGTGTGAATCTCATGAAATATTCATACTGTAAACGCCAACAAAACTATTGATCAACGCGTTCATTAGACTTCTGACCTCCAATGTCAGAGCGCTGTGTCCAAAAACCAGAATAAGAATGATTCCCTATTTTCACCCTTATCCGCCCTTATTATCGCAGACTTTTTGGTCTTCCTTAAATAGTCCCACTTAGCATCGCTCACGGCCTGCGTGCCAGCTTCTTACCTGGACAGTGTAGCTGCCTACAGCCGTGGCTCGTTTGAAGCGAGTGCCCTGCTGACCTGCCAACACAAACAGCTCTGCCAGACGCTGCTCCATTAGACTGGCAAAGCTCTGGTACTGTCCGTCCAAGCTGGCGTTATCCACGTCCTGGATCACTGCAAATGAGTACAAAAGAAAGAGGAAAGCCATATGGTTGTTCAGAGAGAAAATAAATTGTTGGGGAGGAAAGAAAGTCAATGAAAGAAGAAAATGGGAAATGTTTGTGTGTGAGACAAAAAAACACAACATTTGAGCTTCCTCTGTTTCCCCATTTAATGGAAAATAATATTTACTGTGGACGATAACTATGCCATCCAACGGAGCAGTAGCACTAGCTGTGCACAGGCTGCAGCAGCCTTATAGGAAGTTCATGTTGTTCTGCTTCTAATGGCAAGTTGTTGTGTGCCAGAACAACTCCATAAACTAACGACGGATCCAGCTGGTGCTTCCTGAAAGCCCGTTTTGGAGTCGCCCTGTCCCCTATCAGTCAAACATCCAACAGTGCAAATATAATCCGTTCAGTTTTGTCAACATTTAGAAAGCTATAATCCTGGTTGTACGTCTTGTTCAGTGTGAGTAAATCCCATTATATGGGGGGTGACCTTGATCTGACTCGGCCTCTCGTTGTAGTAAGTGCAGTGTTAAGAGCCATACAGCCTGATCCAAAAGGCCCATCTATTATGCAGTATGGCAGTGAGTGCGTCCTTGAAACCTAGGAAATGTATTCATGTTGCTGGGGATATACGGGGGCCGGCGAAAAAACAAACAATAAAGGAGTCAGTATCTCATTGCTGCTGTGAAAGGAGGCAATTCAGATTATGAACATAAGCAGGTGTGTTTAATTTTCCATAAATAGTGTATGTATGAAATCACCATTGTATAAGTACGTTTCATGGATAAACTTTCTGGTCCGGTATTTTTCGTGTCATGAAGTAGAAAAGAAACAAACTATATAATGTGTACTTTTGGAGATGTTGTTATGTGTTCATTATTATTCAGTAATACTTATACACCCACCTGTAATAACCCAGAAGTCTCTGGTAGCAATGGAGGTGTTCAGATTGTGATACTCCAGCGCTGCAACGACAAAAACATTATCATTTTGCCCTGACGATTAATCTCCAAAACACTTTCAATGTATCTTCACAAAACTGTTTTATTTCCTTCCTTCCTCTTATGGAGACATTTTCAATTCAATGTTGAAATGCAATTGCTTCATTTGTATAAGGTGAAAATAAACCTGGGCTGAGTGTAAAACAGCCTCTGAATCGTTACTTTGGAGAAGCGGAAAACAATTGTGTGTGGCTGAAATCTCAGTTTAAATCCTCATTATGATTACATGCCAGACAAATATAGGAGAGATTTCAGCCATCTGAACTCTGGTTTTCTGTGTTTCAATTTGCATCTATTTCCCGCTTGATTAAACTCTTATGCTCTTGGCCGGTGCAGTGTTTGGGGGAATGCTGTATCACTGGCCTGTGAAAGCAGGCCTGCAGCAGAAATGTAAACTCAGGCATGACAGGAGAGAAGGGGGGAGCAGGTTGAGAGGAAAACTAAGGGCTTTGGAATTGCTAATGGAGAGCGCTGCAGGGCTGTTAGCAAAATCAGTCCAACATTGTCTATACGTATATGGTACATAAGTCCGCGAGGAGGTTTAACGTCAGACATCGCTGTTGTGTTACGACAACTCGGATGAGACATTTTTCAGACTATTACAAGTCATTCCAAAATTGGTTAAAAGCTTATAGAAAACAATTATTTCAATAATTGTTAATATTTTGCATCGGGCAAAAGAATCAGAGTTATTATCATGGTCTAAGGAGAAACATTACAAACGGCTCCACTCATTTTCCACCTGAGAGAAATTGTTGATATGCAACTACGCCTCAGTCTCCACACAAGCGCCACAGGAATGACGGAGTACTGAAAACCGTCTGCGGAGAGGTGTGAGATCGCTGGCCTTTTCTGTCAGCGCAAAGCCCAAGGTTGTACGAGAATCCCCTGCTATTAATTATTTACTGCGGTAATTGGCTTTGATGTGTGGCTGCAGCCGCTGCCAGCATATGCTCACACCTCGTGCAAACAAACAGTACAATACCACTAATGGGGAGTCTGCTAAACAGACAGAGCAAAATCACTTACACACACTATAATTCATTTTACTGTCCTCCTCAATTTTTATTTGTGTCAGTTTAGGCTCTCTTAGAGTACCTTGTCGGTATTGAGTTGGCTCCCTCTCTTTCTCGGTTTTCTCCGTCCTGCCAGCGAGTAACTTTACTTTCTAACAAAATTCAATAACATTTTAATCTAATGCTTCCTAGAAAATATCCTATTCATCTTGATTTAAACAGTGTACGAATCCAAGCTGCCTATAGTGAGGCTGTTGCTCAACCTCCTGCCCTGAAATCCATAAAACCAGCCGGAAAATAAAGGAAATCGAAAACGAGTCTATGGAGCAGAACTATATTGATTCTAGGGAAGGATCGGCCTGTTTGAGGAGCGGGACTCAGACGTTTGGGTAAAGTCAGTAACTGAAGCCTTAGTTGACTAAATTTAAGGGATGCAACACCTGAAAGTTTTGTTTCAGAGGAAACAAGCTTCAAATTCATATATCCGTCTCTGCCGTGGCCCTCAGTATCCCACAATCCATTGCAGGCTGGTTGATTGTGTGATAGGATATTCAGGCGACCCACGTGAACTTGTGAAGTGTTGAAGTGTTAAATGAAAGTGGATCATCCACCACGTATTCGGTTCACCTGGTCATTAGTCACATTTAAATAAGGTAAATAGTAGTTGGCAGCAGACAAGAGAAGCAGTCCAGTCCAGTCAGTTTCTATACAGTCCAAGTCTAGATCAGGGGTCCTCAACATGTTTTGCCTCACAAACTGGTTTCATGTTAGAAAATACTTTGCGGACCGGTCTTAAATGTGCAGCGGATAACCAAAGATATGAAAGACGTTTATATAGAACCTCTTTTAGGTTTCCACAGAAAGTCAAAGGTGTTTTTAATGAAATACTCCTGACTAACAGACGTATTTTGGAAAACAAATTGCAACTTACGCTCAGCAATCATAAGTGGTGGATAGAAGAGGAAGTAGCCCACCAGCTCAGCTGACAGCTGACTAAGGAGATTTGAGGCAGTGGTGCCATTAAGAAAGACAGTCCCATTCCTCACAGTGTAAACCAATGACACAGCAGGAGAACCAGCTGCCTGGGAAACACTCAGCATCTGGTATGGAAAAAGTACACGCTCAGAGTCACAATAGAAGACAGAAAAACATAAACAACAAAATGAAATCATAGGGTTGACAAACAAATATTGGCTTATAAATCGCCTTAGAAATTGGCACGGTCATCAGTAAGCGTTGATTATTTTCATCCGTACATTATTGTCAAATTAGTTTTAATATAGGATGCACTTTAATGTTGCAGCTCATTAAAATGAATAAAAACATTCCCCCCCCAAACATAATTAATTTGCATCTCAGAAGATGTTGTAAACAATATTTAGCAAGCTCTGCTATTCACAATCCAGCCTTCCAGTCGGGCTGCTCGATGGTTTTGTGTACTGGGATGTCATTGTCCCCCCCAACAAATAGTAAAATCAGATCTATATCAAAATCAGACTTAGAATGTTTTAGAATCCATTTCGGTATAATGAGCCATAACCCCGCGCACATTTCAGCACAGACGCGGTGCTACAGGGCCGTTACGCTGCAGCACCTGAACAGAGAGTCTGCTGTAGGCGTTGAGCACTTTGGCCTGTGCTTCAGAAAACACCCGTTCCAGCCTCTGCTCCATCATCTGAGAGAAGCGGCAGGACCGAGGGTCATCGCCCGCTCCCACGAACTGAAGCACTAGAACACAAAAACAAAATGAGCTCACAAAACTGAACCCAGGCAAAATAATTCATTACATATTAAAAGGAAATCTTCAGCAAGCTAAAATATTGTGTTTTTTGGGGCCTTTGGCACTGCATGTACTGAGAAGACCGGGGATATGACATACATTATTTTGGGTCCTATGTACCTAAATGTGTTATGTACACATACAATACTGTCATTCCCTCCTCCGGGGGGGCAGCAGCACAAGAAGAAAATGTTTGAATCACATCTCAAACCTCGTTTCCACAACATTTGCCCCAGTTTACAATCACAGCAGGAACAAAAGCAGCAAGTCTCAAGCTGATCTCTGACTTATTTATTTTCTTCATTCCGACTGAACACCAGCTGACCTGTTTTCAGTTGGAAGCCAGGTGCTGGGCTGGATCTCCATAATGCAACTGGGAGGGGCAGGGCTGTTACCATGGGGAGGTACTGTCGCAGGTCTGAAATCAGCTTATCACGGCCATAAGAGTCCAAGCCTTCAAGCACCACAGAAGGAGGGTACACCATGTCCGCTCCAGTCACGTGATAAGCCACCGTCATGTTGGGAGAACCAAATACTGTCTCCACCTGAGAGGATCAAGTAGAGAGGAGAATTGCACAAGTCCCACTGCCATTAGTCAACAGTATCGATTTAATCACAATGGAGAATAAGCATCAGGGGGAGCAGGGCCCAAGAGAATTAACAAAACAATCCTCAGGAAAACAATTACCATGCATGCATACCTTCATCCCTAACTGATGCACAGGGGGAAAGGTTGAACAAAGGGGGCTACTACTTTTTAGACTAAATTTGAACAGTGGATCACCACGGGATCAACAACGCTCTCCGCCGTTCAGCACAGACTGGTTGGGAGAAGACAAGAGTGACAGCTAAAGTCAGCAGGTCCAATTTGAATGCAGGCACCCGCAATCTCCAGTCCAATCTCCCACAATGCAACAACCCGAACACACAGAAACAGGGTGAACTGCACCACCCTCAGGCAGGGAGGTACAACAGCACAAACATTAGTCACAGCCGTGATACCACAACAACACCTCGCACATGAGGTGATAACGCCCCACTGGTTGAAGGATTCAAGCCTGATTCACCTTCCGATCACCGCTAACCGCAGACTCAGTCAGATTGATGGGAAACACGATAAGTTACAAGTTCTATGCACGATAGGCTTTACCATCATTAATGTCATCAGGCAAATGTGCAGTGAAAAATCTTTTTTTTCTTTCTTACCATACTGATGAAAACATCCAAAGCATTCAAAATCAATTCCACCCGATTGCTAATGAAAGCAACAGGAGAGAAAGTGATTATGGAATACAGATAGGTGGAGAGAGGAGAGGGGGCTGAAGGAGAGAGGGAAGAGATCAAAGATGAGAGAGACATGGGAGGGACTGTTAAATAGGGAGTTCGGGACAAAGAATCTTCCTTCACTTATAACTGAGGCCAGGTAGCACTGAGAAACACACAATGTGTGTCCTCTGTTACCGTGTGTGTGTGTGTGTGCATGCAAGACCATTACATGTGTTTGTCAGTGAGATTTGGACTTTTTGGTGAACTCCACGCATAAGGAAACCGGAAAAAGGGATGATGGCAGATGTGGCGGAACTATGTGTGTGTCGGCGAGTTGAAGCCATTCATCTGTTATCTGAACCCAGATCCACCGGGTAGAACATCGAGGGCCTGTATTCTACTACTCTGCCTCCTCACAACTCTGCCAGAGAGGCCTGAGAAAAGAGCCTTTATTGTCCCGTCATCCTCTCAGGCTTCATCCATTTGAAGCTGTTATTGAGAGCTTGTATTTCCAGCAGGCTATAGAGATAGGTAACACTCCCACTTACTCGGTCTCAAAGAGTGTGAAAGACTGCCAGCAGATTAGGCCGGCAGATCTTGTCAGTTCACTAAAAGCCTCAAGCCACTGGAGAGTACACGACACAAACATAGTTTGCTTTTATATACTCATTGAAATCGGCTTTAGCCTTGCGGATTAACTCATTTAGTCTATTTCTCATCATCTTTTTTAGTATCAGCACAGCACATCTCTCTCCTCCCCACCATTTATAACCTATAATTACACACAGAAACGATTTCCCTTGCCGACAGCTCGCGTCCCATTGGATAAGGGGAACAGTGCTACGAAAAGGAACCAAAGCTCTGTTGAAATGAGTGACGGGAGTGCAGTGAAGCACCTTCAGAGACTACAAAGAGAGAGAGAGAGGAAGAGGAAGAACACATGAGAGCATTGACCTTCACGTGGGCAGGATGATTACACAGGCCTCACTCGCAATTATTTGATACTTCCACTCTTGAGAAATACAACACGCCATTTCACCAGAAAGCAGATACACACACACACACATACACACACACAGAAATATGCACACACAGATTTACTTAACGCTTCCAAAACGCTGAGTGTGTCCAACTGCCTTTTGATTTCATTCTGACTATTCTGGTTACATAAATAAAAAAATATGAGGAAATTTGAACAAAGAGTCTCATCCACAGCTCTGCTTCAGTCCTAATCGACATCTTGTTTTAGTGTACAGTTACTCAAATATGTTACCACTGCCGCTGCCTTCAGGGACATTTGGAGTCAACCTAATTTCTATATTAGTCCTCATCTTTTCTTGAATAGCCTACATGAGGGTCCTTGCTAGCATCTGGATTTCTGATGAGGGCAGTTAGGAGCCGTTCATTGTTCACCAGTGTTAGAAACCCGGATCAAGCAACAATTAGTTCTGTTCATTATATTCAGGATAGCAGCTGTTCATTTCTATTCTAACTACACATATTAATGGTGCCACATGTTTTAGATTGCAAACACTTGGCCAATGTGTTCAATCTGTGTTTGTGTATTAATGGAGAGACAATAAAAGCATTATGAGTAGAATGAAAACCTTACCATGTTTGTATGTAAACTAAGATTGCTCCTCGAATAATGCCTTTAGTTTCAGAAACCTGCTTCCGTTCAAAGTGACATTATCAGTATTCGACATTATGGGCACTTAAATGTGTGGCTACGGTTTCACAGCTATGCCACTTTATACATTTGTGAAATTAACATAAAATCACCTTGTGGAGTTTATGCCCACTAAAGGCTGTAGAGTTTTTAACAGTGCCAGTTCTGTTAATGCATCACATTACACATTCACGGGCCACAAGTACACACACGATGTGCTTTGGCGAGGAATATCAACATGTATATAACCACCGGTTAGTTGAGACTCCACAGTTTGAAAGTATAGATTTACGGATAGCAGTAACAGTAGCAATACTAGTAGTAGTAGTAGTAGTAGTAGAAGTAGTAGTACCAGTCTGACCTGTGCTTGAGCAGAAGTATCATTCAGAGCTTTCCGGAGGCCCTGACTTAGTCCCCTTCGCAGGTTCTGCCTCTGAATACTATCCAGCCTGTTTCTTCTCACATAAATAGAAACAACTAGGAGGGACATAGAGACAAAGAAAAAAGAGGTGACAAACCAAAACATACGGCAGACAAAACATGTTTGAGTAGTAATACATTCAAATAATGAGACGTATGATGAGAAGTATTGTTTACCTGTTTTCACCCACAGTCTCTCCGTGATGTTACACTGCTGCGGCGGTGCCTCCGTGGTGGTGGTAAAAGGGGATACAAAGATGCCGGTGGTCTCCCTGGGGAAAGGCGGTGTGAATATTCTCCTGCTGGTTAGAGTCCTGGTGGTGGTGGTGGTGGTTCTCCTGGTCACAGGCGGAGGCTGCGTTTTGGTGGTGGTGGTGGTGGTGGTGGTGGTGGTGGTCGACGTCGTGGTTCCGGTGCCGGTGACGCTCGGGGAAGGCGCAGTAGTGCTGAGGTGATTCGATGTGGCGGTGGGCTGCACAGAGTGGGTCAGGGGGTCCTGTCGAGGGTGCAGAGGTGATACCTGAGATGTTCTCTCGGTGGGCCCAGCAGAGAGGGGGATTCTGGCTGATTGAGAGGGCGCTAAACCGCTTGCTTTTTCTTTGGGGAAAGTGCGCGTAACCGCTCCTGATGTTCCAGCGGTTAACTCATCCGTCCCCGCCTCTGTATGGATAAACAAACACCTCAGTCACTTTACCTCCGAATCTATTGACGCGGTCGGAGCTGGTGAAGCCGGATGGAGATGGAGCTTTCTCAGACGCGGATGATGATGATGCGGCGCCTGGGAGCACGGGTGACTTTAGTGACAATTTCTACAAAATGTCTACATCCGCGTGACAATAACATCGATGATGACAACGATGTCAATGAAGCTTTATGAGTCACTGAGCTGAGAGGATTTGTAGGTAAGGGAAATTGAGTGCAGGATAGTTTGAAAGTGTCACAGTCGACATCTACCAGAGGGGTCTGCGCTTGAAGCGATGAATCTTTTGCAGATGTTACGGAGTCACTAGTTGTACGAGAGAGGGGCAGAACACCCTCTGAACCCCACGCGGTGTTTGCAGTGGCTCCTCACTGCACTTTGACAGTGAACGCAGATCTGGAATTAGCGTGGGACAAATTCAGTTTCTATTTTATATATTGTGATGTGCCATTAACATGTGAAAATGAATTTGGATCACTGGTAACCGTTTCCCTCTATGCGCATTGGTCTCTTGTGCGTCTTGCAGCTGTGGATGTTCACAGAATGGGCCATCTGCTGGCAAATTAGAATTTGCCCTTTCAAAGCCATTAGATGTATCTTCTAACTCAAAGGCAGTGCTTTGAAAAGACACAGGATTGGTGGTTTTTCCACTTTGTATATGGTGCCATTAGATCTGTGCCAGCGCTGAAAATAGCACTAAAGCATCCACTGCTGTTTTGTCCACGACTGAAGGAAGTAGTTGCAGCAGAGGAAGCAGAGGAGGGAATGGTTCTTTGTATGCCTGAATCAAAATTTGATCTGTCACTTCTCACACTGGTGATTAGTCCCTTGGAGCGATAAGTGGAGTTTGCCCTCGGTGTCGTTTCAGACCAGGGAGAAAGAAATGGCCTGCTTGTTTTTTTCAATTCGTCCATAAGAGAAAGACTTTTACGAGGTTCTAAATTGTTTCGGAAAGCTGGAGTGGATATGGATTTGAGTTCTGCTGCTGCTATCTTGTTGAAATATATATCGATTGATTGATTGCAGGAACTGTGGTGCCGCCGTGACCCGCTGCGGTCAGTAAATCACCAGGATTAGATGCATATACTCCCAGGACACCGTGCCAGAGTGGATTGGTGTTAGCTTAGTGATTAGTGACGGCCGATTCACATGCGTTTTACCTGATGGAGTCCAAGTCCGTCTGAATGTCATTGATGTGGATACAGTCGGATTGACAACATGTGAACTCAGAGGCGACGTGACATAACTTTTGTGTCACTTTTGTGTTTGACTACAGTCAAAATTTCCCTCCGTGGCGTTTTCCTTTTCTGCATTAAATGTTTGATTTAGCATCTGCTGTGTGACATGATTAGAAACTGAATAGCCTTTAGGATGGGCAGACAGCAGTGCTGATGCGTGATTTTTTTAAAGCTCCCTGCTGCCTTTCAACAGCTTGTTTCTCCTGATTGCAGGGAAATGAGGTGCTGATTTCAATATTACTAGTTGATAGAGTTTATCCCTCGGTTCTGGACCTGAGTCGTTTTGAATAAAATCTCCCAAAGATTTTCTCCACGGTTATGAGTATATTATTATGTGTAGGTGCAAGTTGCTTTGATCACTTTTGTGCTTGCACTCCTCATGTATGCTCCACTCACTCCATAGATGCTATCCTCTGATGAATATAATGACTGCTTCATCACTTAAGTGCTCTTTCCAATACTTGTTTTACACGGGAGGAGTTGCTAGACTGTCTGTCCAACCCCAAACGTGTGCTGGTGATGATGTCAGAGGGGATGGACACAATCATTTGACCTTCAGAGGATCCAGCTATGTTTATCCAATCTAAAGAAGAGGATAGAGAAAATACAGACACTGATAACGGAGAGGGAGTGGTTGGAGCTGGATGAAGACGCCGACCATGACTATGGAGAAGATAATACTGTCAATCATGAGGTGTTTCTGTTTCCATCCTTGAAGGACACATGTGAGGGACGGTGGTTCGGTGTGTTGTGAGACGTGCTGGAAGTCAGACCTGAGCTGGCGAGGGTGATCCTGCCTCCCGCAGAGACAGATGAGGAGGACGTCTCTGAGCCGCGGCTGGAGGTCCGTGAAGGCCATTGGGTGGTGTGGGTCTCATCCCTGGTGATGGTTGGCGAAGTTCTACTTTCATCAAGGCTCAGCGGATGTTTGAGAGTTCCCGCCATGGCGGTTAAGACGGAGGAAAAGGCGGGCTGCCCCGACAAACCTTCCCCCTCAGACTCTGAGTCGCCATCCGAATGGACGGCTGAGAAAGGCACCTCCTCCGCCACGGACAGGTCAGCCAGTGGATGAGCAGGGGCAGCTGTGACTGCAGGGTCAATTGAGTCGGAAGCAACGTAGGTGGATTTTTCTGGTAAAAGAAAATAAAGTGAAAGACGGGTTAATATTGATGGTTTTGACAACAAAGGTCTATTTGTATTCTGACCCCCCCGCTGTACACAATTATGTAACGCGTCTTTGTGTTCCATGAAAGGGGCACGACAAACTAGTTTTTATTTTTGACATTATTTATTATTGCATCGTCAATAAAGGAGGATATTTCATCCATCCAGTCTGCAGCTGTGAATGTTGATGAATGGATTTGGATGATCTGCAGCATTGCTCCAGAAGGTAAGTAGTCAAATAGAAATTGGAGGTTCTTCCACCATGAACAAAAAGCGGAAGTCACCCAAGAGAAGGATAAGAAACAACCGAAGCACTTTTCTACAACTCGAGAAGCATGAAGATATTCTCACCAATGACTCAGAATGAATATAGAAAGCATTAGTAAATGATTTGTTAAAGCCATTATTTACATTTATAAACCCATTATACAGTCAGCTTTGTAAAACGACAGTGGCGCGCTGCTCTATTAACTTGTCAAGTCTGACATTCCATTTGCCGATTGCATGTCAGCACAAAATTACCTCCTCTAACCGTGACATATGAAGCCATGACAAACAGCCACGTATGTCACACCAGCAAATGAAACAGCCAATTCAGTACTCGCCCCAGTATTCCGATGGTGTTGATGGTGTCCGAAATAGTAAAAAAATCTCTCTCTCGTGTTTTTCTAATAATCACAAAAAGTTCTGTGTCCCAAAGGCCGACATTTAATACCAAAAGAAAAAAATAGAACACGGCTATTTGAGAGCTGACAGCTGTGTGCTCAAGTATACGTAGGTTACCACACAGACGCATGTTAGTGTTTTGTATCTTTGCAGAAACGATGCCTCATTAAAAAGGAAGTCAGAGAGATGAGAGGTTTACAATAAAGTAACAGGTCATAAAGATGCTGGAGGTGATTAATCCGCCCGAGCCGACCGGCGTGCAGTTGTCTCATCTGACCCCGTCCTCTTCCCTCCTTTTATTCTCCGCACACCCTCGACACGTCCAGAGAGAGGTCCTTTTATCTATTGGGAAAGCTTTGCAGTCCTGTCACACCTTCCACCCGCTCAGCATGTTTCTCCTGTTGAAGCGCAACCAGGTAGCACTCAGTACAAGTGCTTCAGTGTCGGAGGGAACCTTTTGATGACAAACATGTACCTGCAGAGCAAAGTGATAAAAGACACTCACATCTCAGCCATTTATACGCATACTGTTTGCTTGATTGAGTGAAGAAGGAAAAAACATCAACTGAACATTTCCGATCCGTCCGGCACGTACTGTGCAAATGACTGAGGCCACTGAGTTCATGTTTTCTGCATCGCACTAGATGATTAGCCTAAGGCAGAGTGTACTCACACGCTGGCAGGTTAAGGCCATAGCAAAAAAAAAAGAAAAACGCAGATATTTTCAAGCCATTAAAGGTAAACTGTAATAGAATATAAATGTCGCAGGTCACTAACTCTCAATGTGCTGTTATATGTCATCAATGTCCCAGAGGACTGACATGATCCTTTTGATAATGTGTTTTCTATCCATTCTTTAAAAAGACTAAAAAACAAAGAGGCGGAAGAATTGACATGTATTCTTCGCTTTTCCATTTGGTATTGTGTCCTTCTTCAGGCCTCTAAAAAGTCAAACCACTTGGTCATCTGAATGAGAAAAGAGCCTCCTGGCCCACATCCCTCTCCTACCTGGTGTGCTCAGTGTGGTGAGATGAATTTGGGCGGGTGAATGGTCGGCAGTCCGAGCGGAGGTGTGGGGTCCACCTGTGGTTTGCCACCTGCTCTGACAGAGCTCAGCATATGGGAGGATTTTAACAACAGACAAGAGGGGAAGATGTGCAGATAAAGCGGGATAGTGGCAGAGGCTGAAGGGCAATGAGGCAATGAGAAAATTATTGAATTTGCAGTGAAACATCTACAAGCAGGTTGTTTACAACCAGTATGATTCCCCATTTAGAACGAGGAATCATACAGGTGGGCCTCGAAAGCAAAATAACAGAAGACGTTACTTCCGTTACAAGTGATAATAGGGTTTTGGGATACTTACTAAAGGTACAGGGATCATATTTTAGAAATAGTGGAACAAAAATGAAAAGTAAATCAATTAGGATGATGGAAATGTAAACCTTTTTCATAATCAAGTCTTTGTTTTAGTGATTCATAATGCAAAGATGCTGGTTAAGGGGTCACTTTGGGTTATGGAAAATTTTCTTCAAAATTTGTTTTTCTACTTAATAGATCATGAAAATAATTATCATTTACTGCAAACCAACATATTCTCGTCTTAAAACCCACTTAATCACTGACTGGTCTGTTTAATAACAAAGTTGTGCTGCACAGCCAAACATTGATTCTTTATTGTCTATTTTGCGATGATAAACTCCTGTTAGAAATGGACACTCTGCTCATCTCTGCTCTGCTTTTTTTTACGTATTTCTTCAGCCGTGAGATTTTCAACATTGTGCAATCAGCACACGCAAAACACAGACTTTGTATCCACACTAGTTTTACCCTTCTGCACAACCACCAGCTACCACGGAGACACGGACATGACACCGCTGCTCCACTCTTGCTATGCGCTGCAACTCCTTCTTTTTCTTTGAGCCGTTCTGTGTGTGAGGCAAATGGTAAACAAGAGGGAATAATTCTGGAGTGAGGTGGATGGCACCCGGGGTGCAGGGAAACAAATTCAAGAAGCCATGTCAAGTGCCTCTGGGGAAATGCCTCAGAAGTCCCTGCCATGTTCTGGTTCTTCACGGAAGGCAGCACAAGAATGCTTTGAGCGGTTCTTGTTCTATTGAAGTTAGAACTAAGAATTTCAGAATGGAGAAAGTCCACGGAGGGGGTCATTTTAATTGAGAAAAAAAAGCATCCTAACATAATTGCACATACCTTCTGTGTCTTGTGTTTGGTGCAGGGCTGGAAGAGGATGGTGGCGGTGATGCCAAGCCCTGCCGAGGTGACAGTATGGACGGGAGGGAGGAAGTCACACTCTCAGCACCGTGCTTTCTTTTTTTTCTCACAGGGTGCAAACAGCTCAGCAGACTGTGACACGCATCGGCTGGCTGGACAGCATCCCAGCAAGCACTTAACCCCAGAAGCATGCAGAGAAGTCTACATGGTGTAAAAAGTGATCCACTCATTTGTTACTCCTGACCACAATCCCACCGTATGATCTCGGTCCGGCTTGACTGTTTCCAGGGAGACCGTATCATTATTTTACCAAGAAGAGTTTGAAACCAGGCCGTAACTTTTGAAAGAAGAAACTTTTCTCCTAACAAATGAATAACAAATAAAACACCTGTGCTCTATTCAACACACTAAAGGGTTTTGCTGCAACAGCAACATTCGGGCTGGTATCACCGGTAGATCATAGTGGATAATATTAGCTAACTAGATAGATATTCTTGTGTTATTGATAATATGACTTAGCTATACGATACACTACAGCATTTGCCATTGTCTTGTAAATATAACTTGTTCTTACATGGTGCACTATTTAGAAAATGTTATAAAGACTCACTTTTAAGTATTTCCTTCAGAATGCAATATACAGCAAGGCATTTATTTTAACATTTAAACTATAGGAACATTTTGGGTGCATTTGTTAAATTCTCTAGTTATGTATATCAGAAGATTTCTAAAAACCTTTCTACTGATTGTTGATTGATTGGTTGAGGACTTCACTCCATACACAGAGTGTTTACATCCAGGCACTATTATGTAAATGCACACATTTGTGAGGAGAAAATGTCTAGCGATCATATCAACGCCGTCCTCAGATTGACACCAGCCTTTTTCTCTGTCCTCTTCTGTGTCTCTGTCTCTCTTGCTCGAAATACAAGTCAGTTCATCAGAGGATGCTAAGGATCTTTGTCTTTCCCGGCTCGACACACTGACTTCTGTCCCGACACAGCTCTGGACACATGCAGTCATGTTGTTGTCCTCTGTCCATTCGTATCACCGCTCACAGAGGCTGTTCTACACTGTCCTCACTCCCGTGTTTGACCTATCGCCTCATTTAACATTCGGTGACATGATGTTACATGCAGCTACATTATAGTGATGTGTATTGAAATGCATGAATAGCCAAACACTTAACATTACATTTATTCTTTTCTGTCCCTCCCCATTATTAGCATGAGCGTTCTCATTGAGCGTGTCTGTATGTTGACGTGCAGGCACTGCCATCACTCAGCCATTACTTAGGGCTTTTTGGGGTGTGAGAGGGTACACGTTGCCCAGCTCTCACATGACGGATCACATCTGCTGACTCGAACCCTTTTGGGGAAAATGGCTTTGGCAGCAGCCAAACTTTACTGATTTTTGAGCCTGATTGTTTGAAGTCAGAGATTAAGGTGCAAACAAAATTCAGTGAATGAATTATGTAAACACAGTCCTCCGGATGATATTTTGATATGATCGGATAATATTGAACAGTGTAATGTTGCTGTGTTACATAAATAATCAGCACAAAGGGGTTCCCAAATATTCTAATGAGTACATTTGAGATGTGAAGAAGTCATTAGTCCCTAAATGTAGAACCAAATGTGCTGAACTAACAGCTCTGGGCCCTTAGTATCTAAAAAAGATAAGAATAACAATTATGCTACTAAATAATCAATCGGATATCTCGAAGATCAGTCAGACATTTTGCTTATCGTCGAGCACATATCACATTTATGAATTGTGGTCCTCTAACTTGCCGAAATGACTAACTTCTAAATTACTAATTACTTTTAAAGTGCTGACTATGACGCTGCGCGCTCCACTAGCAAATATACTCAAAAGTTTTTAGCAAACTATTATTTACTGTGGATTCACAATGAAACATATGTTAAGATGGGGCACAGCAACATCTATGGGAATGTTTTAATGATAACACAATAGCACATTTCATGTATGTGCTGTTCTTTGTGCCAGGCTTCAACAATTACTGAATCAGCAGTTGAAAATAGAAAAGCCATGACTGACTTTTAGT